CTCAACATCCTCATGTGCCTCCTTCTTGGGCTCATCCTCATCTTCAGAAACCATCCCATATTTCTCATTGAGATAACTCCATATCTCATGGGCGGTCTTCATGTCTATGATCTCTCCAAAGATGTTATCATGCAAAGAACTATACATGATGTTAGTAGCTTGGATGTCAAGATCTAGGCATTTCTCTTGTGCTTGAGTTAGATTATCTTCATCCAACATATGAGAAAAGCCTACATCTACTATCCACCACATTTGAGGGCAAATAAACTTAAAATTGCATATCATCTAATTTTTCCACCGTGCAAAGTGTGTGCCATCAAAAATGTGTGGACAATCAACATCTGGCCCATAAGTCACCATCCTCTCGGGTCGGTAAAGACCACAAATGAGAGACTTAGCTCTGATACCACTTTTAGGGTCGAGATAGCGACTAGAGGGGCGGTGAATAGTCATTTTGAAATTTAATCGCGTTGGCTAACCGAAACAAATGCATAATTAAAACAATCGGTCTAGCTAAGACTACACCCCTCTATATATGTTCTATAGCACCTTACAAAGATCCTAATTAAGCAACTAAGGTGCCGAGCCAGCTAGAGCTCACCTATCCAATTCTAGGAGAAAATTCACCCAAACCTATGCCACTAGTATTTTACACACCGAGGAGCTCCTACACAATTCTAGTAAGCAAAAGCACAAAGCTCCTAAGCTCACTAGCAATGCTCAATAACAAGGAAACCAATGCCAAATTAGAGAGCTCAAATACTTAGCTACATAAACTAAGCAATGTGACTAATCAAGGTTACATAAACCAAACTAGTCACGCAAGGGAGTTACTTCTATGCTACACAAACAAGAAGGTAACTAGTGAGCTACACAAGCTAACTAATTACAAGAGCAACTACACAAGCACAATATATATGAAAGTAATTGCAAGCTTGTGTAAGGGGATTGCAAACCAACAGGAAGAATAATGTTGACACGATGATTTTCTCACGAGGTTCACGTGCTTACCAACACACTAGTCCCCGTTGTGTCGACCGCTCATTTGGTGGTTCGGCGGCTAATTGGCATCACCCGCCAAGCCCGCATGTCGAGCACTATAAGAACCTACCCCAAAAGTGAGGGTAGCTCAATGACACGCTCAACTAGAGTTGCTCTTCGCGACTCACGTGAGGCGAGCACAATGTCCCTCATAAAGCTCTTCTCCGGAGCACCGCACAAGCTTCTTGCGGGCATCGACGGAGACCACCACCAAGCCATCTAGGAGGTGGCAACCTCCAAGAGTAACAAGCACCATCGGCTTGCAACTCAATCACCTAGTGCCACTCGATGCACCCCCACGATGCAATCGCACTAGAATCGCTCACTCACTCAATCGGATGAACACTATCAAGCTAGAGTGAGTTAGAGGGCTCCCAAGCACTACCAAGTATGGACACAAAGTCCCCCAAGGTGCTCTAGTGTGCCTAGCTCTTCTAAGCTATCGGCCAAAGGCCGACCACTTCTATTTATAGCCCCCACGAAAATAGAGTCGTCGTACCCCTTCACTGGGCATAGCTCGAGGTGATCGAATGCTCTGGTCAGATCGACCGGACGCACCCTGCAAGCGTCTGGTCAACAGATGGCTGCCACATCATCCCTTGCTTTAAATACTGAGCGCCCGATCTCAACCGTTAAGTTGCGACCTGACACAGCACAATGCCTTCACCGGATGCACCTCTACTGAGTCCGGTCGTTTTCAGAGAGCTTCATTCATGACCGGACGCGTCCGCTGCTGCATGATCGGACCCAGACCAGCCAGAGTTCGGTCATTTCCAGAGAGCTCCCCGAGCCTCTGTTTTGCGACCGGACGCGTCCGGTCGGTTACGATCGGACGTAGCATCAGCGTCTGGACATTCTCCGACTGCCACGCGTCACTGCTGTTTCTCACGCCACCACGTCAGCGTACATTAGCACTGATCGGACGTAGACCCTGAGCGTCCGGTCACTCTTCGCGCTAGCGTCTGGTCACGTGACCGAGACAGCGCGCTCACTGCTTCCACTGACCGGATGTGCTGGTCAAGCCGAGGCCAGCGTCCGGTCACTCACAGTGACACCTTCTCGCCTATGTTTCTTTACCGGGTTGATCCATTTCAACTCCAACTTCTTCTCCTTTATAAATGTGCCAACACCACCAAGTGTACACCACCATGTGTATGTGTGTTAGCATTTTCACAATCATTTTTCAAAGGATTAGCCACTCAACTTGCCACGCCACTCGATCCTAGCGATGATGCAAAGTTAGATCACTCAAGTGACACTATATGACCGATATGCAAACAAGTTTGCCCCTCTTGATAGTACGGCCATCTATCCTAAACCTAGTCATCAACCTCTCTACACACCTATGACCGATGAAATGAAATGCCCTAGGTTATACCTTTGCCTTGCGCATTCCATTCCATTCCATCTCCTCCAATGTCGATGAAACACATGCACCAACACGATCAACAATGATATGATCCACTTCATATCATCACGTGATCATATTGGTTTATCGATCTTGACTTCACTTGCTTTTCACCATTGCCTTCATCCATCGGCACCAAGTCTTGCTCAAGCTTCACCGCCACGTGGTCCATCGCTCCAAAGCCTTCGACTTGCCCTTCATGCTTGCAACCGGTCCATCAAGCCAAGTCATGTCTTGATCTTCTCCACCTTGATCACATGACTCAATGTCATGTCTCATGTGCAATGAACTCCATCATCATCACATGTGTGAGATTTGCAACATCTGCAAGCCATTTCCACCCTCATGGCATATGTTGCTCACACACATGTACCTATGGACTAATCACATGTGCATCTCACATAAACACAATTAGTCCACCTAGGTTGTCACTCAATTACCAAAACCACACAAGGACCTTTAAAGGGCTTCATACCCACACTCTACTGCACCTCTAGGGGCCCCACACCAAAGAGAGAGGGCCCACTCATCAGTGGGGGGTCGCCCGACGCCCTCCCACGTTGCCCAACGCCCCCCTATGGCTCCACCGCCTCTCCTTCGGACAGCATGCAAGGAAACACAAATGCAAGCCATCCCAAGGGTCGGTTTGAGGCGGTTTGATCCAAAGGCTGCGACATGCTCTCCCATGGATCGATGACATTGCGATGGAGTAGCCCCTACTCCACCTATCCACTATAAATAGGACCCTTACCCCTCACTTGTAACACACAACAAAGAGAAGCTCTCTCTCTCTCTCTACTCTTGATCTCAAGATGTAGCTCTACTAGTACTAGTTAGTCTTGGTGGGAGCTCTGCCCAGAGTCTAGAGCAGTCTTTAGGAGTCTGGTATAGCTTTGTTTCTCTCTTGTAAATAATTTATTTATTTCATTATGTTACTTTCCATGCAAGTACTATTTCAAGTCTTTTACTCTAAGTACTAGTCTTGTGCTCTAGTTATACTATGGGTTATGCTTATACTCCTTTGATAAGTAGGCTCTCAATAGCATGGGTTCTTCGTCACTAGTAGATGCTCTAGTCTTAATGTGAGACTAGGGTAGTATCAAATAGTATAAGCGTGGTGCTTATACTATCAGGGTACCTTGGAATGTGGCTAGGCCCCCGAATAGATTGGGGTAGTTGGCAAGTGGTGACAGCCCTGTCCATCCTATTATTCCCCCATGTTAGGCCTAGTTGTTAAATCATAGGGCTCATTGTGCTTTGTGCCCAATCAACCCTCTGGGTGAGTTTGGGGTAGGTACACCCCAAGTGCTATTGCATCCTACCTTGCACTATCTTGGTTTATCTATATCGCCACAGTTGTTAGCTAGAGTTGTGCTTGAATAAAAGTAACATAGGATTCTATTGATATCTCACTAGTCGTCGTCCTACCTAGTTATGCTTCTGCTTTACCTTTTCATGAGTGGATCTTATGTGTGTCACCCCATTTTATTGCATATCACTTACCCCCACTTTAGTCTAGTCAGTATACTAGTTAGTAGATACATGATGGTTAACTATCAACTTCTTTAGCCACTGCTTCCCTATGGATAAATAGGGTACCCTAGAATACTCTCGGGTGAAATACTATAACGATATTCTGTAAGATTGTGGAATTACCTACTTGAGCATAAGAAATATCAACAAGCATTTTTTACGCCGTTGCCAGGGAAGCAATTAGCGTAAAGATTTTGATATTGACCTTGATGTCTACTAATCTAGTTTACCACTAGATTTGTGGGATTATCCTTGTCCTGTTGAGTGTGGAATAAATAGGGCAACATCAACCATTCAACATTCTGGCTTATTTCCACATGAAAAAAGGAAGAATCATCAAGAGCCCATGGTGCCTGGTCATTCATAAACCATCAACACCTTCACCCTGCCATCTCATAGATATGTATCTATATACATTTTATACGGACCCAGGATTCAGTCACGACTAGGGCCAAATTTCAAAAGCGAAATACCAATCGCTACACCATAGTCTATATGACTATATATATGTGTGTTATACTGGTCGAAAGCAACATGATGCTAAAGTTCTAGTACTCTTCATCTTCTAAACCAATTAAGAAAACTATAAAATTATATTCTAATTGGAATCAAAAGTTCAAAACTCTACATAGAAATGACAAAATTGAAATTGTCAACCTAGAACTTAGAATCAAAATTAGCAAAGAATTGAAATAAAGAGAAGAAATCCATTCACTCTTCCTGTTCCAGAGTTCCTGCTCGGCTAGCTCGGGCGCTTGGCCGCGCAGGGCTAGCCGGCATGCGACGTCGCAGGGAAATTGGAAACTAGAAATTTAGAAAGGGAAGCTTGTTCAGTTGCTCTGCTTGCCTATGAGGAAGGAGCCGACAGCGCTGCAGCGGGCAGCGGGCGAGCAGCTGGCGCCGCCGCGTTGGGCTGAGGAAGGAGCCGTGTCGGCGCCGCCGTGGAGCGTAGAGTGGAGGGGGCGAGGCCGTGGAGCCGGAGCGCGGAGCAGAGGGCTGGAGGGGGTGACGGGCGACGATGGCGGGCGGTGCAGCGTGGGTGACTGGCGGCAACGACAGTTGTGAGTCTCGCGAAGTGAGAAGGCAAGCCTCGAGCGGCTCTGGCGCTCTGTTGCCCTACTCTGTTACCGGGCCTGCTTGTATTGGGCTGCTTTATGGGCCAAAAACTGATAACCTGCTCTCTTGTTACATGGGCCACGACTAGGCCATGGCCTGGGCTGCCCTAGTGATGGGTCCGCCCCTGACCATGTGCAGATGGAGAGGTCAGCATCAAAAGGAGATAAAATCATCATTTGTGACAAAACAAAGATGTTGCATCACTCAAAACTCCATCTCAAGTTGTGGGTAATGGTGAAATCGATCAAGGTATGTGAGATCCAACCCCAAGCTATCCTTCCCTTTTCAAAACCATAGCATGCTTGTTTAAAATCCACCCTATTGCATTGCTTTTCATAAAAAAACATGGTTCTCTGGTTCACCATTAATGTTTTGATGTCCGCTTGAGTGAATCTTAATATGCTTTCGTGCTTCATAAAAATATATTGTTTCCTTAAGAACTCATATACTACTGATACTAACAATTTTTTTGAAACCATATTAGTAGCCATGACATAATTTATCTATGTTGTTACTTTAGATATATTTATATATTTTAACTAAATGTTTGACACGTTTATACTGATAATATAATCATAACTGCACATATAATTCCTTGATAGGAAAATCCAATCATCTTTAGAATTTTGCGAGACTACTGGTGGCTATATTTTTCTAGACCTTTATCATTTCTTTAGAGTAAAATTTCGATCATTATAATGCTTAAGATTTAAAATTCTGTTTAGGTTAGCACCGTTACCCCCATCCGAGATCTCATTTTAAGTTCATGATGCAAGTTTCAAATGATTGTGTATGCTATTGTAGTATTTAAGAATGTACTCTACGACCTCAAATCCTTATTTTAAAAGAGTGCAAATGAGAGTTTAGTAAAAGATACAATAGCACAAGTGTTTCCACTTGAGTAAATTTTTTTTGTAGCAGTCAATAAAAATAAAAATTCAAAAATAAAAAGAATAGATTCACGACTTAATAAAATATGTGATGCAACAAGGGCAACCATAGTTAATGGTGAGGTTTCAAGCTAACTGCATATTAAATATACATAGGTGTCGTGCAAATTAAAAATATGAATATGGATGGAAAATATATAAGTCAGTCCCTTGAAAAAATAATAAGTTTATGATAACTAGATATAGTCTACGAAGTATCTGTTATGTCTATTGTAGAAAATATAAGTATCTTTTTTATTAGTCAAATGTATTAAATAGTATATCTTTTATAATTCTAGCTCATGCGAGAGCACGGGTTGATAGACTAGTTATGCCTACTTAGTCCATGATTAACGAACGTGATGCTACAGTAAATATACGTTAAATTCTCCCTCCATACTCAAAAATAAAGTCGTTTTGGACAGCGACACGGTGTCCAAAGCATAACTTTGACTACTTATTTTTATAAAGATATTTATCAAAAAGTGATATATGTAAATTTTTGTGAAAGTATTTTTCAAGACAAATCTATACATATGGTTTTTACATTTTCAAACTCAACAACTTAAAAGTTATTCATGATTTATATTCTCGATGTTTGACCCGAACCTTGTCCAAAACGACTTCATCTTTTAGTACTAAGGGAGTATAGATTAATTAGGCTTAATAAATTCATCTCGTGAATTAATCACGACTTATGTAATTAATTTTATAATTAACCCACGTCTAATCTTGCTGCATTTGACGTGACTCGACTAAGGTTTCTACCCGGGAGCGCCCGCCACGAACTGACGCACCGCCTTTCCCTAGCGGCCTAGCCCCTTCATTGCCCCCTCCCCAAGTTTTGAGACTTTTCCCTGTGTGTCATTATAAAAGATCGTAATCCCCTATGTGCCCCTGAAAAAATTCAGCGGTCTTCAGCGCCACTACTTCAACTTTTTCGTGTCCTCCATGCCACTTCCGTCAGTTTGGACGTTAACGCCGTCAAACTGCAGGTGTGAAAAGACAAAAATGCCCTTAAGTTCAAATATGTTATTAATTTTTTTTGAGCATCCTAACGACTTCAAATGAAAAAACTCAAAACTAGAAAGTTGTAGATCTCGTCGAGATCTATAATTTTCATATAAATTTTTTTTTTCATTTAATTCCGCAAAAAAAATAATATAATTTTTCTAAGATATATTAATCATATCAAATCATATTTTTTTTGCGAAATTAAATGAAAAAAAAATTTATATGAAAATTATAGATCTCGACGAGATCTACAACTTTCTAGTTTTGAGTTTTTTCATTTGAAGTCATTAAGATGCTCAAAAAAAATTAATAACATATTTGAACTTAAGGGCATTTTCGTCTTTTCACACCTGCAGTTTGACGGCGTTAAAGCCCAAACTGACGGAAGTGGCATGGATGACACGAAAAAGTTGAAGTAGTGGCGCTGAAGACCGCTGAATTTTTTCAAGGGCACATAGAAGATTACGATCTTTTATAATGGCACACAGGGAAAAGTCTCCCAAGTTTTCTCTGGCGGTGGCGCAGAGTCATCAGTGGACCACACCACACCGTTGCCGTCGTGGCCAAGTCAACACGACAACACGCCCCTCTATACGACGACTACATAAATACCAGGCGATCCCCACACTCGCAACGCTGTTCTTTGCCACCCTAGTAGGGCCACGTTTAGTTACCCAAAATTCCAGAATTTAGCACTATGTAAAAAGAAGATTTCTCATCACATTAAATTTGCAGTACATACATGGACTATTATATGTTGACGAAATCAAAAACTAATTACACAGTTTAGTTGTACTTTACGAGACGAATATTTTGAGCCTAATTAGTCAACGAGTGAACAATTATTACTAAATAAAAACAAAATGCTACAGTAACTACAGTGCGCACCGAATCTGGCGGCGCCGATTCGGTGGCCGAACTAAACGCGGCCTAGATAGCGGCTGGTGTGTGCTTGGCAAGGAAGCCACGGAAGAATTGGGCGTACGCCGCAAGGAAGCTAGCCGGCCGGCCATCTCGACTGCGCTCGCCGACTGGAACTACCCGCGCGACGACGACGGTGCCGGCGTCCACGACTGGCCGCCCGTCACCCCGTGCTTCGATTTCGCCTCCGCCATGCGGACCAGCACAGGTCTAACAAGGTAAACTACAGTAGGAGTACCACGCAAGAGTAGACGACGGGTTTCAGAAAGTCTTTTTTTTTTTCAAGTACTTTTTTCTCTTGTACTGCTAACTATACACACGGGAATTCTTGCGCCAAACTACCCTGTTCGCTTGAGCTACTTTTTAGTCAGAATAGTATTTTTCTCTAACAACATTTTAGCATAAACATCAGCATAAACCAAGTTTCAGCATAAACGAACAGGGTGCAGAAGTTGAAATTCCTTGTGTTAGCACCAAATGCCAAGTGCTAGTATAAGCTGTTTTGCGGTGCTCCGGCCAGCTTTGATTCCGATTTCTTCACGTAGTAAGAAGCTGTTTTTCCTTTCATCTAAAAAAATTACAAGATAGGCCGCGTTTAGTTCCTTGCAGAATCGGCGCCGCTGGAATTCTCCGGCACTGTTCCGGTACTGTAGCGCAATGTAGCATTTTGTTTGTATTTGGTAATAATTGTTCAATCATTGACTAATTAGGCTCAAAACGTTCGTCTCGCAAAGTACAACCAAACTGTGCAATTAGTTTTTGATTTCGTCAATATTTAGTACTTCATGTATGTACCGCAAGTTTAATGTGACGGGGAATCTTCTTTTTGTATAGTGCTAAAATTTGAATTCTGGGTAACAAGGACATAGTCAGCCTGTTCGCTTGTTGGTTTCAGCCAGCCCAAACTAGCCAGCCAACAGTGTTTTCCTCTCACAAAAAACCAGCACCAACCAGTCCAAACCAGCACCAGCACTGACCAGCGAACAGGCCCAGTAAAACTCCTTTCGGCTCCGTACAGTGTACCAAAGAGCCATAGCTATCTCGAAATTGGAACGTACCAAAACAAGGACTAGGTAGGAGTACACAACCCTTGTTTAGTTCCTCTAAACTTCTGAAAAGTGCACTATGTAAAAAGAAGATTCTCCGTCATATCAAACTTGCGGTACATGCATAGAGTACTAAATGTAGACGAAATCAAAAACTAATTGCACAGTTTGCTTTAACTTTGCGAGACGAATCTTTTGAGCCTAATTAGTCAATGTTTGGACAATAATTCACAAATACAAACGAAATGATACAGTAGAGAATCTTCACTGTTGCCCAATAAAACACCGCCACAATCTCCACTATCCCATTGGCCCCACACGCACGCACGCACTGGGTGTACATGTCCAGGTGGGCCCCCACTGGCGTCGTCCTCTTCCTTACGAAGCACACCGGGTGTACATGTCCAGGTGGGCCCCCACTGGCGTCCTCCTCTTCCTTACGAAGCACACCGCTGCTGCCCCTGCTCTGCTCTAGCTCCACATAATAATATATATATATACTCCTTTCTCTTTCCACTGTGAACAGAATTTTCCTCTTGCCAATTCTCATCTCTCTCCCTCTCTTGCTAATGAAGGTCAGTCATCAGCGTATTGCAGTGGCACTGCACGTAGGCATGCCTGCAAGTACCAACTGACGGTTGCTTTTGTTTCATGATGCTTCAGAGATCGTCGGTGCCGAACGCGAGGCGCATGCGCGTCCCGGCGTTCGGGGAGTGGAACCACCATGGCGACGACGGCGGCAACGGCAATGGCATCGGCAACGGAACATGGCCGGCGGTCATGACCCCGTTCTTCGACCTCGCCACGCTGCAGAAAGCAGCGCCCAAGACGGTACGCGTTTTAATCCAAACCCCACAGCAACTACTTTCTTTTTATCAACGGTTCTCATTTTATTAAATTTTTAACGATGTGTTGGGCTGGGTCTGTTGGCTTGCTGCTTATCGATCGAATGGGTAATGCTCGTCGTGTGCAGGGGAGACGACGGCGCGGCGGTGACGACGGTTTCGATGCGGCCAAGCTGGCTACGGCGGCGGAGGCGCCACAGGGGCACATGCAGACGAGGCGGAGCAAGGTGGCCAACTCCGGAGCCTACGCGGCGGCGGCGGCGAGGAGGTCCTGCTTCACGGTGGCCAAACCCGTCGACGACGACCTGTACGGGGTTCCACCGGACATGATGCTCTACGGGAAGCCAGCACCGAGGGTACGCATTACATGCCTATGATTCATTCATTTATGTGCAGTCACAGTCAGTCCATTTTGCATCGCTAAGATGCATGGTAGGTGTAGGTTCGAAAACATTCAGAAACCACGATTGCAAATATCCATTAATAGAACACCTAAAGCCCCATGTAAAACATACATACATAGGTAATCGATGCAAAATAAAAAAAAAACAAGAAGATTGCAAGCTCAAACTTTCTCGCCACGGATTTGCAGTCACAGATGAGCACTTAGTTTTCTTATTACTCTTATTACGGTCTTAACATGACGATTTAACATGCATGACCGCAGTAATAGCTGATAGCCTGATACATGCACGAACTGTCATGACTCATTGCAGAAAGAAGGCTGGCTGAGGATCCTGCGGCTGCTGGGCTGCTCCTGCTGCTTGAGCCCGTCGTAACGAACGGACATTGCCCAGCATTATTGCTCTGCTCATCGTGCTCACGGCCTCACGGGGGCACACGGACAACAAGGCTAATCAGGGCTCGGGCTTTTTGGCTCTCCCCCTTCCATCCTGTACAAAATGTCTCAGCTTTTTGGTGCATCTTCTGATCGATTGATGACGGCACGACATGACGTGCCGGCCGGCCTTGCATGACTCTGCGCGTAGGTGTGACGTTGGTGTTGTGACTGTTCGCTGCTGACCGGCTGTCTAGTGACTGCGTGGGCGAAGCTAGATTAGGTTCTTTATGTATCCTCTGTTTTCGTTTGCCCCTGGACTCCTCGCCTGTAACCTAGCTAAAATGTTTGTGGCAAGGCTGCGTGTAACGCGACACTGCAGGGTCAATTAAAACTTGAGATTGTATCATGTTCATCGGCGAAGTGTGCTCGTAGTGGAACCTGCCCACCTTGGAATTGCCAATGTGTTCGATTCCTTGTGGTAAAATCTATTTACCTTAGTTCAAGTCTTGACATATATGCTCACAATATCCTTGTTAGGCATGGCCGCATTGGTCTTTTGTTGTTTAGGATGTCCTTGAGGTATCTTGTGTATGCCGGCACCTGCCTTGAGTCAAGCAACGGAACGTGTACATAGAGCTCAAGAAACAATTGACCACATCATCTCTTCCTGCCCATACTCAAGAGAGGTTTGGTTTCGTATCTGTCGGACCCTGGGCACCCTGCTACCGCCGGCGACGAACATTACCATCAGCTGGTGGAGGTGCCTGAGATCGGCATGGCATGGCCAGCAGTGACGTGGATTCGACTCTTTGTTCTCGCTGGTTTCTTGGAAATTATGGAAGGAACGCAACGCCAGATGTTTCAGGGAGGCCTCCACACCGGTGAACGAGTTGTTGGCACTGATAAAAGCCGAGACAGATTGCTGGATCTTGGCAGGGGCGCACTGGCGCTAGTTTAGCGTTCGGGGTATAGCTGCTGCTCGGGGTGTGCTAGGAGTTCAGGAAAAATGTAACCAACAACTGTGCCTCAGCCTCAGGCCGATTTTGTAACTCAAACTCTATTCCTTCTTAATACAATGATACACAATTCTCATGCGTATTTGAGAAAAAAAAGCTTTTGGATTACGTAGACGAACTTTGTGAATTGTTCGTCCACAGATGACTTACGGCTAGGGATGAAAACGGTCGACAACGGTCGAGAAAATGTCTTAACCATTCCCGCTCCTGTATTTTTTTGCCGGGAACGGAAACGGGAACGGGAAGGCCGGACAGGAAAACGAAACCGGTATTACGGGATATCGGGAACGGAATATTTCGAACGGGAACGTCTCGATTACGATCGGGAAACGGTAACTCAAAACGGGAACACCAATATATGTAACCACTTAAAACAATGAGCTCGATGCAACAATGGCAACCATATGCAACAGCAAGCTAATAGGCAAAAAAAAAAGAGTTCACAATTCACAATAAGCCAACAGGCAACAGTTCAAATTAAAAAAAATAGTGCATGTGAACAGGCAAGCCAACAGGCAACAGTAAGCGGCCACAAGCCCACAACAGTAACACAAGTAGTTTTCAATTCACAAGTCCAAATACAGACATTCAGTGGACCGGCCACCAGCGGACGGGAGTGGGCTGGGCTACATCAATCAGTGATTCAGACATTCAGTGGGCCGGCATGGGAATACAGGAATATCGTCGAGAATTTTCCTACCGAAATACGGGAACCGTGAATACGGTCGGGAAAATCCCTTAACTGATTCCGTTCCCGTTCCTGCCTAAAATACGGTGTCGGTTTCCCGTTTCCTATTTTTCGTGCAAAAACGGTATGCGATCGGTTAATGCGGTATACGGTGTCGGTCGGTACGGGAATTTCCCGTCCCGTTTTCATCCATACTTACGGCTGCGAGTGGGAAATGGCAGCATCCCCGTATCGTAAAATTCATGGAGGGTTGTTGTTGACGATAGTTAACAACCATTATAAACCGTCAATAAAGCATGTATAAGGGCACAGTTGAGATCACCAACAAAGGTCTAGGGGTTTAAACTAATAAATTCCACGAGTTTTGATGAATCTGTGTTTCCAGCAGGGGTTAATCAGAAAACCGCCAAGGAGGACCTTGAAAGGATCAAGATGCCCAAGAGAGGGGGTGAATTGGGCTAATTCTAAATTTTCTTGCAATAATCAAATCCTACGGATAGCCCAATTAACCCCTTGTGCCTAGACAAAGTGTTTCTATCAAATCAACGCACAAAAGACTTGCAACCTATGTTCCAAACTTACTCTAGCATAGCAATTCTATGAATGGAAAGACGAGTATTGAATTGCTCAAAGTAAATACTTAAAGTAAATGCTCAAAGTAAATAGAGAAAGGAACGCGGCGATGTTTTGCCGAGGTATCGGAGAGTCGCCACTCTCCACTAGTCCTCGTTGGAGCACCCGCGCAAGGGTGTAGCTCCCCCTTGATCCGCGCAAGGACCAAGTGCTCTCTACGGGTTGATTCTTCGACACTCCGTCGCTGCGAATCACCCAAAACCGCTCACAACTTGAGTTGGGTCACCCACAAGCTCCGCCGGGTGATCACCAAGCTCCCAATCACCACCAAGCCGTCTAGGTGATGGCGATCACCAAGAGTAACAAGCACGAACTCTCACTTGACCACGCGAAGCCTAATGAGAAGATGGATGCACACTTGTCTACTCTTGATTCACTAATGAGGTTTCACTCTTGGATTCTCAAATCACAAACACCTCACTAGGACCTTGCTCTTCTTGGCACTCACAAACGTGTTTCTCAGCTGTTGGAATGAGCAAAAGTAACTCCACACACGAGTGGAGCTTCTATTTATAAGGCAGCCTGAAAAACGAACCGTTATGAGCTTCTGCGGGATGACCGGACGCTCCGATCGTATTGACCGGACGCTCCGGTCAGTTCAACCCGCGCAACAGTTTCCAAGTGATGACCGGACGCTGACAGGGTCCGGTCAGCACTGACCGGACGCGTCCGGTCGCTCTTGGATGCTTACTGTAATCGACCGGACGCTGGATACTCAGGGTCCGGTCACCACTGACCGGACGCGTCCGGTCACACTTTCTCAAGTCTGGACCCTTACTGGAGTCGACCGGACGCTGGCCCCCAGCGTCCGGTCACACGACCTTCCAGCGTCCGGTCACTCCAGACTTGTTCTCCTCAGTCAAATGAACTGACCGGACCCTGCGGCCAGCGTCCGGTCAGTATTTGACCCTCCATTCGCTTCCAACTCTCGATCATATGTGAATGAAGTTTGCTCCAAAGGATCTTAGACATTCATAGGAGCTACCTAGAGCAAGTTTTAACAAGTGTGCACCACACCTAACTCACTAGACTCAACTAGGTCAAGCTACCCGTTCATACCCCCCCTTCATAGTACGGCCAAAGGAAAAACAAAGTCCTAAACTACTCTAAGTGTCTCTTCAACTTCAATTGACACTTAGAACTAGTTATCCTTAACCTTGTCGTCCATCCTTTGAAAACCGAAACGATTTCCATCGTAGGGGCATGACAATCTCAATTGCCCAATCGATCTCTATTACCATGACCTAACTTAATTGCCTCTGCAAAACACACGTTAGTCATAGTAATCTTGTATTGACATTAATCACCAAATCTACTTAGGGGCCTAGATGCTTTCAATCTCCCCTTTTGGTGATTGATGACAATACCACCTCAGTAGTATGTTATGGAATGAGGTTTTTGGACGGGCTTGGTTCATATAAGCTTTTGTCGTTAAGAACAAAAGAGTTAGGCAAGCTTATATGACCCAAGCCAACACAATGTACTCAAAGGATATGAATTAAGCATGAGTACAAGTAACAAAGCTCATTTGCTTCAAGTATAAACGCGAAGCAAAAGCAAATGAGCATAACACAAGTGATATGACATATAGATAATGCAAAGTAGAAATCACACATGTCAAATATCACAATCACGTAGATAGCACTATTACATATATATAATAGTATGCGGGAAAGTAAACACACGAATGCATAAGTAATAGTGTATCACACAAATAGAACTCCAAATGTATATAATAGGCTAATACTAGATAACTAGCTCCCTAAATGTAGCTCCCCACGAGACTACATACTCAACACCCTCTCCCTTTAAGGCGTCAAACACCAAAACCTAGGGGTTGGGCACGGCGCAGCAGCGATGAGTCGGGCGTATTTGAAGAACGTGGGGCAAGCTAGAACCGGGCACCATCATCATCTGACCCTGAGCTCTGAACTGACTGACCCTCTATGGCGGGAAGTGTTGCTGGCGGTGCAGGGTCTGAGCTGGGCTGGTCTTTGCTGTGAAAGTCGCTAGTATGTCTGTCGTGGGATCTCGACGAGGCGGACAGACGAGGGAGCCTCTGAGTAGTCACATCGACTGGTCTCATCAGTAGACGGACCGCGCAGAATGCATATGGTAGGAGTAGGCATGCCAGATCAACTCATTGAAGGATGCTCCAAGACTCTGGAGACTAACGTGTCGTGCATGAATAGCGAGGGAGGACTGCCCGGTGTGAAGCCCGTCTCAAGTGGAGTGAATCGTGGGGCTACCACGGTGAGGCTAACCACCGGGACACTGCACAAAGAGGTGAAGCAAACCGAGCCGGAGGTCTGTCCTCGACCACAGAGTTCACCGGGCAGATAGCTGGAGTCGCTGTGGTGGTGGAGCAAAGGCTAAGCAAGCAAGCGAAAGTCTGTGGGTCAGTGGGGCCCCAAGAGCTGTCACTACGTCTTGTATGAAACCCATAAGCTGCTTCTTTGCCGCAAGAGTCTATTGTTGATGCATCTCTGCTGCTTTCTTTGCTGCATGGCTCTCTTCTTGCCTCTGGAACTCGCCCCTGCCAAGTCAAAATCGCAAAAGTAGCAATGCTCTCTCATCTCGTTTATCTGTGGTTCTGCTGTGCATCCGCCAAGAATAGCAATGAGAGCGGGTCTGCTCATGGAGCAGTGGAGCAGAATCGGA